CTCTGAGTTCTCTGAGTCACTGGCAAAAGGGCAGTCCCTTTATACCCAAGTAGTACAATACACATCCATTGAAACTCATACTGTTATCTTACATTATAACGACTTCCCCAGCTGCCTTGCTACAGCAAAAGGACAGCAAGACCTTGATACTGAGTGGGGCCGCCAGGTGCCTGGGTGCCGCACTCCCTTTTCCTTCTCACACAAGACACATTTATGAGTGTTGGAAGTAACTTCTGCAGACTATGCAAGCTGAGCTGATAAGCTTGCTAACGACCTTAAAGTTAGCTGATAAGTAGTGCATAAAATAAAATCAAGACATCAATCTTAGTGTGAAGTGATCCTTTAAATCTTTGAACATATATTAAATTCAGAGTGAAGTGACCTTAAACATAATGACATACCAGCATCTGCTATGCTGGCATCCACATTCCCCCCTTTTTGTCCTTCAGGACAAATCCTGCAAAAGCAAACTGTTAACTTGTACAAACTGTTATTCTGAGAGTAACATTAACTGTTTCAGGAATTTCAGTATCATCCTGTGAACGTAACAAGTGACATAAAAAATAGTAAATGTTAATAAATGTGAATACAAGTGAAACTTAAAAAGTGACCTTAGAAATAACAAATGTGAATAAATGTGAACAAATGTGAAACTAAAAAATGACATTAGAAATAGTAAATGTGAATAAATGTGAAACTTAAAAGTGTCATTAAAATAGCACTGGTGGATAAATGTGAATAAAATGAAAATAAATGAAAATGAACAAAACTGTGATGTTATCTTTCTTTCACTTTAAGCCATACATCATCTGTACAGATCAGCCGTTGTGATCTGGAACTTTAAACCAGACTTTGGAGTGGCCTAGTCAAAGTCCTGACCTGAATCCAATTGAGATGCTGTGGCATGACCTTAAAAAGGCAGTTCATGCCCGAAAACGCTCCAATGTGGCTGACTTACAACCATTCTGCCAAGATGAGTGGGCCAAAATTCCTCCACAGCGCTGTGGAAGACTCATGGCAAGTTATCGAAAACGCTTGATTGCAGTTGTTGCTGCTAAGGGTGGCCCAACCAGTTATTAGGTTTAGGGGGCGAACACATGTTCATACTGGGCTATGTAGTTTTGGATTTTGTTTTCCCTTAATAATAAAAACCTTCATTTAAAAACTGCATGATGTGTTTACTTGTGTTATCTTTGACTAATATTTAAATTTGTTTGATGATCTAAAACATGAAAGTGTGACAAAAATGCAAAAAGATAAGAAATCAGTAAGGGGGCAAACACTTTTTCACACCACTGTATTTTGCATGTAGCTCTGTATCTGTAGCCTTGTAGGACCAAATGATCATTTCTCTTGTTGCATCTCCTTGTTTTGTGTGCTGTAACCTTGTGTTAGTCAGTCTCCAGGCATTCTCCACTTCATTTCTTCAGCTGCCAGGACCACCATCAGTTCACCTCTCTGAAGTAATCCCAGTTTTAAATTCAGCTGAATGGCTACTGCACTGATCTGGTAGTGGTGTGATTTTCAACAGTCCCAGTGGTCTCTCTTGTTGAGGTTGCTTAAGGCATCACCCAGATTTCAGTTCTCAACAACCATGTCATTATAGCACTTCAATTAACAATGGAAAATAGTCCTGATATGGTAACAGCACTTAAATAATCACTAATAATGATAACATCTGATGGAAATGACTGATTACTGTAGTGGGAATACCAAGAAAAACTTTTAACTAAAGCATAAACATGTAACAGTAATCAGTAAGGATGAAAAAATTGTTTCTGGAAATATTAAATAATCATTAATCAATATACATTACAAGTCTACTGGACGTTTTCCTGTTCTTATTAGAAACGGTTCAAACATGTACAACTGATACAAAGCAATGAGACAGTTTGCATACAGTTTTATTCATCTTAAATCTTGTGTAGAAAAAAGAATCAGAGAAACAAATGCTCTCTTTTTCCTTCAGCCAGTTTCCCAGTAGTCAGAATATACTGATAACAGGAAAAATTCTTACACCAGCATGTACAAAAGAAAGCCAAAATGAAACCTTAGTCTAACAGATTATTTCAATTGAAACAAGAGATGGAAGGCTATGAATAGTTTACAAACATCAAAACCTTGGTAACAAACTGACCATCTATGTAACAAAAGAAAAAGAGAAACTTGCTTCACTTAATGTCCACTCTGTGGTGTTACAGTGGTAAATGTGAGACAAAAATCAGACCACAAAAACCCATCCTGACATTGTCATGTCAGAGCAAACTGGCACTAGACTGATAAGCCTGTTGTTGGAGGAGGACTCTGCAACAGAACCCACATCACTGAGACTCCTGGGATGAAATGACAAACCTGCCTTGTTAGCACAGGAAGACATGAAAGATGCTTTTTTTCTGGCATCATGGTCGCCAAGGCACCAAAGTGAAGAACCTCAACAATCTGCCAAACAACACATGAAGAGGAAGTGACATACAAAACATCATTAACTAGCTCCTCAGTTACAAAAGGTGTTTCCATAGCAGACAGTACAGATCATTAGCTAGGTCTCAGGTCATGTTTGAAGAACCAAACAGCCTAAATGAAACCAGATGTTGTGCACTTATGAATGACTGGCTAGACTTTGCTTACTAACAAGAAAGAGCCTTCAGTGAATGCTGAAGCCAGTTTGATCGTTTGGAGTTTAACCTGTCAGTTCACTAACTGTTACAGAGGATGGAGCACTGTACAAGGTGGGAGGGAAACAACTTGTACTGTAATGGATATTAGCAGCAGTAGTTTGTGAGTGTTGTGTTGAAAATGAACCTGTGGAAAATGTACCCATCTAAACACAGGCCACCAGAATCCAGCCAGCATTTTTAAGCAGCAACAAGTGACTGACAGAATACCCACAATGGCTCTCTGCTATATGTAGTGAAAGGATGCAAAGGGCCACAGTTTTAAACTGTCACACTGAAAATAGAGCAAAAGCTGGCTGTAAATTTGCAGTCCTCTATATACATCTCCAGTTCCATTTCTAATGTGTCAAGATACTGTAACAGCATTTTCCCCCAGCACATGCCTAGGCCAGAAAAATAACACACCCAATGTCAGACATTTCTGCTTAGAGACAGCGTGGTCCTTCTCACTGTCCACAAAACCACAATGCAACAGGTCATACCTGGATAATTTTTCTCTCCTGGCTGTTAGTAACCAAGTTTCAGATTTATACCTCTGATGTATTACTTTTACATTGTGGTGTCCCCCAGAACTCTGTGTTATGTTTTTTTAATCGTGTAGCAGCAAGAGGTTTTTTCCATGGTATATTTGATTATTCTGGAAATACCTTTAGTACAGATGGAAGTGTTAACACATGGACTTGAGGCTGAGGTCTGAAAACAGCAGCACGCCAGTACAGTCGGAAGAGGGGAGGGGAGAGGGGAGTGTAGAGAAGGGAAAGGTGGGGAGGCTGGGAGATTTTAACAGCAGCAGAACTACACTTCATTCTTTCTTCATGTTGTTCACAGTTCTTCTCACAACAGAACATCTGAGAAGCACACAACACCAAGTGTTGTCATCACAGTTACTAAGACTTGGTCTTAGCTGGACCACCTCCTTATTTAATTGATTTGTCCCAAATTTCACCAGCAGCTGTTATAATCAACTAGGAGCCTGAATAGTTTCCCCGATTAGATTATCTGCAGATTAGCGAGAAATATCTCCCCACAGTAACCCAGTTTTCCCTGTTAAGCATCATGTTTGTGCACCAGCCTCCTCCGCCATGATGGTTTGGTTTGTGGTTTGATTTCGGCCATATTAACAGCACTCAGCAAGATGGTCATTACAGCTGGACAACAGAGATTAGACTTGTTTTCTGTACAAATATATAAACTGAAAATGAAAGTACAGTGAGGTAGATGGATGGTTGAGAGAATAATAACCAAAAACCCCCAGAAAATAGAACAAAAATATTAAAAAAAAAAACAACTTGAGGGGAACTTTTACAGTGATTTACACTTCACAAAACAAATAACATAAATAACCAAGAAACACCTGGGCTGAGAATCCAAATACAGCTTTTGAGGTGAGTCTTTAAAATCTATTCCATGTGGTCCATATATTCATCTTCATATTTTAGTCTCTCATGTTTCTTCAGTTAACCTTCATAAAGCAGTCTGTTACATGCTCAGGTGTTCAACACGGGGAATATCCTGTCAGTCAAAGAACTGACCAAACGTGTCTTGTTGAATTTGGATTTAATATGCGAGCTAAAGAACATCTTCAGGAGGAGAGCCTCAGCAGCATCCGCCCCTCTTACGAATCCTTTAGTGTTGTCCTCAGCTGCAAAATCTTATTTATCCTGACACGTTTTTAAAAAATCTTCTCTCAGTGCTGTAAGATAATTATTTCTCAACACAATTTAGCTTCAGGAACCTTCTACAAATATGCTGATATGTTGAAAAAGAAATAACTATCCAGCAGACAGGGTTTTACACTTGCCTTTGGAAAAAATAAGATGTTAAGACTCATTGCTACATTAAATCAATTCTGTTTTGCATTTACTTTGTACCATGAACCCAGTTATTAGAGAGCACAACCATATAGTAACTTGAAACTGACAAACTGTGATAAAACATTATCAGACAAGTCAAAAATTCATCAGTAAAAAATAGTTATCTAAATAATTAAAATGGAGCATAAAAAGAAACCTCAAGTTTAACACCTTTTCTTCCAAGAATACAATTTCTTCCTCTTCTATTTATCTTTCACTAGTATGTGGTAATAACCTATGACATGTTGCAGGAGAATGTCATTTAAAGATTTCTTTCTCAATATAAACCAACTGAACAAAAAGCTCTAAGTAGTATTAGCAAGCTAACTGAAATTTAGCTACAAGAGTTCACACACTGTTATAGCAATATGCAGTACAGACTATAGATAACTAACATTACAGTGTGCGCACTGGCTGCTGTGGAACACATGTGTGTGTGTGTGTGGGGGGGGGGCTAAATAAATTATGGTTTAATTTATTACATCAACTGATTGTGGGTAAACAGGACTGAGAGAAAGGCATAAAGCTTTATATTTCATTTTGTGCTCTATTTCAATTATTTAACAATAGCTTTGCACAGCAGGGCTGCACTAAGCATTGCACCTTGTACCAGTGTATCAGCAATTGCAAACTATATCATTTGTAGCTATATTCAGTTATGTGTCTGACTTGTCTAATAACATTTTGTCAGTATTGGGGCCCCATACAAAAATAGCATGGATCCATTAAAAAAACTGGAAAATCCCGTTCTGGTTTCAGTTTTAGGAAAAACTGTTCTTACTTAATGTCAAAAGAAAATGCAATAACAGAGCCAGGGGGACACAGAATCAGACACAGAAGACTGGATGTCTCTGGGTATGAAAGCACAAACCAACAGGAAAGTAGAAAAATTAATTTTCTCTTTGTCCTGAGATTTAGTTGGGACTCAGCAGTGACACTTGACCTCTGAGTATAATGATGGGTATACAGGGTCAAGTCCAAACCTCAGAAGACAAGAGGTCAAAGTGCCCTAAAGAAGATTAGAACATTGATGGTCACTGGTGCCATCACTGTCCTCTAGTCAAATGGGAGGGAAAGTAACCAGTGTTTCAAACCACAAGGCAAATGGTCGTACCTTTTACGCAAGCATTGAATCAAAACCAGCTCAGATACTTTACACAATTACAAGCATTAAAAATATGCACTGTGGAAACATTTGCTGATCCAACCTGAAGCAGTTTTCTCTTTTTATATATAGATATCAACTATATTACAACCACAAGAGAAATAAGGAATAGCAGCTTCTCTCTGTACACGATGAATGTCTCCAACCGTATAAAAGTTAGAAAAGTGACACAAACAACTGGTACATAAATGCTCTGTCCACATAGATGATGTAAATGTTGGAGACTAATGACTGGTCTAAAAGATACCTGTTTGAAAATAACAGACGCCTCTGAACTCGGACCAAAACCTGATCGAAAGACGTTCATATTCTTTATCTCTTTATGCTTTTCCCTCTGCAGTCCTCTACCTTGAGGCTTTTTTTTGCTTCTTTATTGACTGGATTGTGTAGACAAACCATAATGGAGAAGCACTTTGAGACAGGATGTGACTCAATTTCAGATAAAAAGATGTAACCAAGATCTATGATGACAATTTGATAAAGTACAGTAGCTGCAGATATCAGACAGCAACAGACAGCAGGACTGATGTACGACTGCATCAGCAACAGAGGGAAACTAACATCCCTTTGATGGGAGATTTTAACCATGGTGTGGTTGCAGATCAAAGGCCCTTTTTTGCTTCAAATTTCAATCTGCTATGCATCAAGGCAAGACTGCAGAGGGGAGAATTTGAAGGAATTTTTTGGCAATACATTTGGCAGATTTTCTTTTGCTGTGGCTGTTTTTTTCAGTGGACTGGCTGTTGACCTGGCAGAAACCCAGCCTGCAGCCGATGAAGACGCTGACCTCTCTGAAGTGCTTCTTCTTCACTCAATGCAACAGTTTTACCATAATGCCCACCCAAAAGCAACCATGCCAGCCATTTAAAGGCCTACACATTTTGTTTTCCCATTTAGAAACATAAAAAGTAACAAACAATTTATAAAATAAAGACAGAGAGAGAGGGAGATCCCCCCCAAGATGATGTTTTGTGTTTCCTTTCTTTACTGTTTTGTTGGTCTTCCCATTCAGCAGCCAGGGCAGTGTCATGTCTGACAGCCAGCTGGTAGAAACCAAAACTAGAATAATATGAAAAAACATGTGCGGACTTACAGCAGAATACGAACTGACAGTTTTCTGCAACAGCGTTTGCTCCTCACTGAGCAGCGAAAGTGGCAGACATGGTCTTGCTGTATTTGATTTTAAAAGAAAAAAATCCCAGTCACTGTAACATCAGGTTCTGCAGGGCAGTAGGTGGCAGGGTTTGCAGTCTGGTGTGACTCTCATTTCCATCAGCAGGCAGAGGACTGTGGGAGAGGCACGGCACGCTCGTTTTTGCGTCCTCCATTCATGTGTGTGTACGGCGGCAACTCCTCCAGAGACGGTCGCATATTGACACCTGTGCCTGACCCTGCTGCAAGGCCTGGCCCCGGCAGCCCATTTGCTGCCTGCTGCCCAGAGGAATGCTTGTCCATGGCAGCAGATGACATACTGGGAGAGGTTGGGGAGCTGGGAGCTAGCGAGGGGGCAAGTGGAGCCTCTGAGCTCAGGGAGGGAGGGGCCTGCTGAGGGACTGGGGTTTCCTGTGGCTGTGGCTGTGTGGAATAAGCAGGATCAAGAGGATCGTCATCAGCGTTGTCCATCTTGTCCAGGTGGAGCTGCGGAGCATCAGCAGGTTTGTTATCGGCGCTGTAGAAAAAACTAACCTCTTTGAAAGATGGGTCCAGCTCATCCTTTATGCCGCTGATGATCTCCACAAAGGATGGACGCATCTTAGGATTGTACTGCCAACACGTTCGCATCAGCTCAAACCTACACACATATACAAACATATAGGCTAGCTCAGTGTGCATCAACAACATGTACTCAAGTAGTAATAACTATCCAGACAAGACAATATTTACTTTTGCCATGTTTACTTTCTGTTGCCAAGACGGCTGATTCTATTGCTGATGCTACTTTCACCAGGGTCCAGATAAAATGGATGAAATCTGTAGTAACATTGTCTGATAGCGCTGGCATTGCTTTCTGTGAAATTGACCAATTACATAAACTGGAAAGTAAGGAAACCAAATTGCTGCCTTTGAATTACTGGCTAAAAGACTCAAGATCTAACAGTGAAAGAATGTCAAAGCATAGTTTGTGTTGCAAGGATCGCAAGCAAAAATATGTTTGTTCTTTTGTTACCTCTAACTTATGCTTTTTTTGTGTACTTCTGTTGTCTGTATTTGGTCTAATACTGTATTCACCAGATGAAAAAAAAAGCTTACAGTATGTGGTTTTAGACTAATGTAAAAGACTCACACACCAAGTATGTCTAGATATATGACTTTATTTAATAAACACACGGTTTTGAGCAATGTGTTTTGCTTTGCAGCTTCTTCAGGCTCACTCATCTCAATGTTTATGCTTATAATCTGTAACAGGTGTGTGCTTTAAAAGTGCTGCTGGTTGAGTAGCAAAACAAACAGTTGGACATGTCGACTGATTGAAAAGACACAGAAAGGAATACTATTCTTCATGTTCAGTGCTACCATCCTAAAAAATGATTTCTAATATTCCTTATGAACAGTCTGTTAGTTTGAAACGTATCTATACAAGAGAGTCCAACTCTGAGGCTACAGCCAAGGAAAGTGTCTGCGCTTTAAAGAGTGAGGCAATGATGACAAAACTCTTAATAAAGCAATTAGAGCTAGAAAGTTAAAGAGAGCAGTTACTGAATCTGACCTAGAAATTGTCAGAGAACTGTCTGTCCTTTGTACTAGAATATAACAATGTCTCTGCAGAGATTAAAAACATTATTAAACTAGAATTACTGCTTTGTGGTTGCATGTGTCCACCAAGATGTCAAATTCAAGGGTATAAAACAGAAATGACCTTGACCTTTGACCACCAAAATCTAAATCAGGTCATCCTTGAGTCCAAGTGAACATTTGTGCAAAATCTGATAAAATTCCCTCAAGGTGTTCCTGACATATATCGTGTTCACAAGAATTGTATGGATGGAGTGATAACCTAAAAACATAATGTCTCCAGAAGCAGCTGTCGCTGGCGTGGAGGCATAAAAATACTGGGAGGTGACCCAAGCTTACAGCACCTAACTTACTGCTCACCTCGATTTTGTTAAAACAGAGGTCAAAATATTTGTGATCTCTTGGTATGGTCAACATATACAGCTGACTGGTCATTGTACACACTGTACAAACACGTTTAATACAAAAGTATTTTATTATACACACACAGGTGAAAAATAGGATACAAAAGGATTTATAAACTGCATGACCACACACGTTATCTACATGCTCAAATGTCTGCACAGGCTTGCATATGTTGGCCAAACCAATTGTCACCTCAATACGAACACAAAGGAGCTATTAGGAATGGAAATGTAGATTACACTATTGTCTGAAACTAAATTGATTTAAAAACATGGCTCAGCTTGCACCCTCCCTTAAATGTAGAGATTTGGAACAGTTTTGCCAAATCCTAGAAGAGGAGATATAAACAGCTATTGCAAAGAGAAGCATATTGGATGCAAACATTAAACACTATATAACCCAGTGGTTTAAATGAAGTGCTGGACTTGAACCCATTCCTGTGATATTATATCTTTACTGCTCTTTAGACATATAGGTGTTTATCCTGGTTTAAGGAAAGTTTAGCTCAGAAGTAGACAATAGGCTGAACACATATGATACTGGCACTTATTATACAGTGCCTTGCAAAAGTATTCATACCCCTTGAAATTTTCTACATTTTGTCACATTACAACCACAAACTTAAATGTATTTTATTGGGATTTTATGTGATAGACCAACACAAAGTATCACATAATTGTGAAGTGGAAGGAAAATGATACGCGGTGTTCAAGAATTTTTACAAATAAAAATCTGGCGTGCATATGTATTCAGCCCCCTTTACTCTCATATCCCTAAATAAAATTCAGTGCAACCAACTGCCTTCAGAAGTCACCTAATTAGTAAATAGAGTCCACCTGTGTGTAATTCACTCTCAGTATAAAT